TATTATTTCTATTGCAAAATTTCGATGGTCAAAACCTTCGGACCACCACTTTTCAAAAATTTTCCTTGTATATGTATCAATATGCAAGTATACAATGTATACCAGACATTTCTCAGACAGTTTTTTTTTCTTTTTTTTTTAATGAATCCGTTGGTTGTGTACTGATTGATACTTCAGTCTGAGAGAACAAGATTTATTTTAGTACTAGTTGTTATTAGCTTTGAACAAACTTCCAGTAATTGCATACTCTTATTTCGGTGCTTTGTGTCTTTTGTCTTAATGTAACTTTTTTTTTTGTGTGTCTCGTACCGATCTTTTGAGTTAATCTAATCGCAATTGATTTGTGCAGGTTGTTCTTATATTGTACTGTTACACCACTGTCCCAGCTTCGGGAAGGGTTAAGCGCTCACAAACATGTTCTTGTACTGTTACACCACTGTCCCAGGTTAGGGGGCGGGTTGGGCCGGATCCCGCTAACATGTTTAACCCCGCCACATTCTGTATGTATGTGCCTGTCCCAAGTCAGGAGCCTGTAATTTAGTGGTTGTCGTTTGTTGCTGTGTTACATACTTGTTTTTCGTTCATTTTTTTGTACATTAATTAGACCGTTAGTTTTCTCGTTTGAATTGTTTTACATTTGTGATTTCGGGGCCTTTTATAGACGACTTTGCGGTATGGGCTTTGCTTATTGTTGAAGGCCGTACGGTGACCTATAGCTATTAATTGCTGTGTCATTTGGTCTCTTGTGGAGGGTTGTCTCATTGGCAATCTTCGTTTTTATATCAACCCTGCCATATTCTTTGTGTGCCTGTCCCAAGTCAGGAGCCTATAGTTTAGTGGTTGTCGTTGGTTCATGCCTCGACTTTGATATTTTGTAAATTATTTTGTTATGTAAAATTAGGCCGTTAGTTTTTTCGTTTGAATTGTTTCTCACACTTTTCACGTCGGGCCTTTTATTGACGACTTTTAATACATTATCGGGTTTTGTCATTGTTGAAGGCCTTAATTACGGTTGCCTATAATTGCTTACATCCACTTCATATTTGAACTCCGGTGGATAGTTGCCTCATTAGCAATCATACATCTCTTCGTTTTTATATCATATACCTGAATTTTAAACTCGTGTTTTCCTGAACCGAGTCCTGAACATGCATGACATTTTTGTCACTGGGCGTTAAAAATTAGCAACAAACAATCAATCAATTTAAACTTGTGTTAAATAAGAAGAAAAACCATTTGATATTTATTCATTTATTGGGGTGGGGGACAGGAGGATTTCATATATAATATAGTCGCCTGATAAGAGCTGAAAAATAGGCATAATTAGCGACAGATTAAAAAAGTTAATAATGCCCTCTTCCCTTCCCCATCCTTGATCTATAAATTTAAACTGACCACCACGGAATAGCCCAACTTAGTGTTGAAAGTAGCGTTAAACAATAATCAATCAAAATCCCTTCCCTAGAATATCAAATAGTCGTCCCTTAACTGTTATTGTCCGTGCGGTTCTTATATTTATCCAGCTTATCGTCCTACACGGATGTCCTACTAAGACTGTCATACCATAAAAACGTTTATAACACAGCTCACATTCTAATATATCTGCATTCATAAATTTATTAATGTCATTTAGACTAAACGACGCCATGTTTGTTATGTGCCTCTGCCGTCTAAACTACCTATCAAAAAAGAAGAGATGGAAGAGAGCCAGAAGATCTTCCCTATTCAAAAAAACAGAAATGGACCTCTTCTGGCTCACTACCGAAGAACAAAAAAACACGCCCCAGTACTTTTTGCCAGGACAGCAATGTCATCGGCACATGTGGGTGCAGGGACTTGTATATTACCAATACATGCTCCAAGTCCACTTTTTAAAATGCTATCCAGTATGACGTTGTTGTAGCATTTATATAGCGTTGTAGATAGTTTTGCACCTTGTTGAATTCCTTGTAACACCATTACATCTTCTGTACATTGACCTTCCCATTTGACCTTAATGCTCATGCCTTTATACATGTTTCTCAGTAGTATCCAGAGTTTTCCTTTTATTCCATAATGGTACAACTTGTTGAATAGTATTTCATGGTTTAGTTTGTCAAATGCTTTTTCTGCATCAAGAGTTATTAAAATCATCAGTATCTTTAATTTCTTACTTTCTTCGATTGCTTCTGATGTGAGGAAAGCTGCGCATAGTGATGATACTCCTTCTGTTAAGCCTCTTTGCAAGGAGTTTTGTATGTTATTAAATACAGAGTCAACTCTATCCTTCAGTATACTTTGTAATATTTTTGCAAAGGTTTTAGTCACAGTTATTCCTCTATAGCTAGATGGTAATGTTTTGTCTTTTTCTTTCTTTAGGATTGGTGTAAGAATCCCTGTCTTTAGGAAGATTGGTACATCCAGATATGTTAAAATTAAATTTAGCAAATGTACTATAAAGGGAGTTAACTCATCCATCCCATATTTGTAGTGTTCTGCCGAAATTCCATCCTCATCTGGTGCTTTTCCTGCTTTAAGTTTTTCTATAGCTTTATCAACCTCCTTTACATTGACATGATCAATGCCTTGACCTTTTTCCCTTAAAACACATTGTAGTCTCAGACTGAAATAAAAAGAAAACCGCAACAAAAAACAAAAAAATAAACAAACACAAATAACCGTACCCTCAGAATCGTGTTTTGAGACGACCTCCTTGATGTACACGAAACGGTGACGTATTTCACATTTTGAGTCTGGATGCATACAACTTTGGTAACGTTATGTAAACACTAGTTAATCTAAACATACCAGTAGGTTTATAAATGCGTAATTTGAAAAACAGAACACTTCAGTTATTACACAGATGTGCTGTTTTTTCATGTGGAAAAGATTTTATCTGTTTTACTGAAAAAGTTTGCCCAGTTAAAACCAAATCCTTATAAAACCTTTTGAACTGACCAGGGTTCAGCCTGTTTACCTCAGTTGAAGTTTGAACGTTTAATAAGATTAATTGGTTTTTTTATAGGGTAACTTGTAACTCACTTGGACTAGATACGTGATACTTCATGCCCTTCGTGAATGGTTAGTTTGATCAAGGATTTGTATAGTAATACTTGTGAATCCTTGGTTTGATGTACAGGGTCGAACACCAATTTCACTTGCAGTACCAATTAGGGCTTCCCAATCTGTTGAGTGTAGGAAGGTGTCAAGATTAAAATAGCATGAAGACATTTTCAGGAAATACAAGTGAGAATCTAGTGGCAATGAATTATCTCCCCTGAGTAAATTTTTTTTTTTATCTGCAACTTTTTAATTGATTTTCATAGATCGATCTATTTTTTTTAATCACATAGAATTATGTTAAAATTTTCAAATATATATTTAAACTCAAAATCTTCATATGAAATATTCACATAATTACATTTTTGTAATCACATTGAAGACCCGTTGGTGGCCTTAAATTGGTTGTTATCTGCTCTTTGGTCAGGTTGTTGTCTATTTGACTATGACATATTCCCCATTTCCATTCTCAATTTTATTTGGTGATTAAATGTAGTCCAAATAATTATGATGTCTTGAAAGGCTATTTTATTGTTTTGTTGTGACGCCATGCTGTCACAACAACAAAAATCAAATAGCCTTTAAGAAGTCAAGAAGTCATAATTATTTGGACTACTGATGCTGCTGAATACAACTTTATTTTCACTCGGACGTAGTCAGTGTTTAAAATTTGTGAATAAGGATTATGATAATCTGATTTATAAATATTGTTGAAAAACTGGTTGGTTGAAGAAAAAAAAGTTTTTAGTCAATTTTCTTGGTAATAAATCTAAACAGCAACCTCCCAATATTTAATCAGTCTAATAAGTTACTGCATTCTACATCATTGTAATTACTTTTTCTTGAACTTTAATATTGCAAATGTTTCATGATACTGTGCATGTACTTATAGATTATCGATGGTTTTTCAAACAAGAGGTTGTTTCTCAGCTACAATCTCATCGAAGGGCGACAGCCCTGAGATGAGATGTAGCTGAGAAACATCCTTGAGTTTGAAAGACCATTGATAATCTGTTTATCGCTATTTTGCCTGTGAGGTCGTTCATGTTTACATTGACTACGTCACATGCGACTTAGTTTCAGACAATAATTTTCCATCTCAAGCGAGCAGCATGATATGAAAAATTATCACAAAATAAGATCAAAGGAAAAATGCACAAAATAGCGATAAATACAATTATAATTGCTCAAATTGAAAAAAAACAACCTATCTGTCATCAAGTACAATGTGTCTGGACTCCATCACTAATTTAGACAAAAAATTGAAATATGTTTTTTTCTGTTTCAAACATTTTTAAAAGTGGAAATTTATATCAGATTGTGCTATAAGCAGTCAATTTGATTAAATTTTGAGAAAATAAATTTTAAAATATAGCTATGTATTATTGGCTTGCAAGTCAATAATTCAACTTCATTTGAATCCCTATTCATGTGACTTTCATTAATCCCTTAGCTGGAGATGGGTCATGCATGTGCTAATACATTGAAAAATGAAACAAGGGAGCCACCTGGATTAACCATTATGTTGACTGATACGACCAACAAAAAAATATTCTAATACACCAGGTATAAACAAGGATTTTCATGATTTTACATATTTTATATTATCTATGACAAGGTCATCTCAAAGGTTAATTAGATGGCATAGAGTCTAAAAATGAATATATGAAACAATTCAATTGAGAAAACTAGCAGCCTAATTTATAACAAAACAATTTACAAAAAACAAATATGACAAGACATGAACCAAGGACAACCACTGAACTACTGGCTCCTGACTTGGGACAGGCACATAAAGAATATGGCTAAGACAGTTTGTCATAGTGCTATTTCAGGGGAAGATAAAGGGGCTGTGGATTAGACACCTCATGATTTTTTTTTTCTGTGGATAACAGGAGGGAAATCAAATGCAATTCTGATACAAATAAAAAATGTGTTGTCTATAACCTGTTTTTATATTACAGAAAATGGAATGTAAAGAAGGAAAGCGACAAAAAAGACCTACTATTGAATACTACCGTATACCTGGTAAGAAATCAAGCCTTCAGCTATGTAGTTTTAGTTTAAACCCTTTGATTATTAAAGGAGAAAGTATGTTAAGGCTACTTTCTTAGCCCTTTAAATTGAAAATAAAAAAGTATATTGAATCTATCTAATAACACTAAATCCTAATAGCCTAGGTGGAACTCTCATATTCTAAGGTAAAGATAAGCCTAGGTGGAAGTTCAGGAACTCTCATATTCTAAGGTAAAGATACATGTAAGCCTAGGTGGAACTCTCATATTCTAAGGTAAAGATAAGCCTAGTTGGAACTCTCATAATCTAAGGTATAGATAAGCCTAGGTGGAACTCTCATATTCTAAGGTAAAGATAAGCCTAGGTGGAACTCTCATAATCTAAGGTAAAGATAAGCCTAGGTGGAACTCTCATAATCTAAGGTATAGATAAGCCTAGGTGGAACTCTCATATTCTAAGGTAATGATAAGCCTAGGTGGAACTCTCATATTCTAAGGTAATGATAAACCTAGGTGGAACTCTCATATTCTAAGGTAAAGATAAATTAAACTTTTCCATATGAACACTTGAATTTTACAGACAAGTTTCAAGAATGGTTATTACTGTAACTGTTCGCTTTTATATTATCCATCGGACAAATTTCATTCCGGAAATAAACATGGGAAAAACCACTGTAAGACGCAATAACTTTTGTGGTCGTGGTATTCAGAAGGTAACAATTTTTCATGAATTATTTGGTTAACTAAAACTACAATGGATATATAATATTTCTTGAATTCATCCAATACAAGATTTGAGAAGGAACAATGTTACTAACTCATGAACTTTATTTTCATTAAAATGCATACCGTAGTTAAACGCAAAAACTTGAAAAATAAAAGTATTTTTAAGATTAAATAACATGCACTTAAATCAGGTTGTTGGTTTTTTTGTTTGAACTTTTTTACATAAATTCATGCCGAGGCTATTTATAGCTTTTTATTTGGTATTGGTTTTGCTCATTGTTGAAGGCCATACAGTGACCTAGCTGTAGTTGCTAACATCTCTGTTATATGATGGATAGTTGTCTCATTGGCAATCATACCACGTGTATCTTCTTATTTAACATCTGTAATCAAATGAAAGTTAATTAAAGAGAAGGAAACTAGAATTGCTTTCTATTAAAAAAGTTACTTTCACTGTATTTTGCAAAGTCATAGTATAAACCAAACAATGAAATCTAAATATGTCTATTTATAGCATCAAGATCTAGTCGCACTGTTGCGTTAAAAGAGTCTGATGATGACAACAATAACATCAATGACCTGGTCATTAGAGTCAACAGAAATCTCTTTGAGAACACAAATGATAATTGTATAAATAGAAATATCAGGAAAAATCAAGATATTCCAGAAAAGCATGTTCAAAGCAGTAAGTTACATTACAGTAAACACAAGAATACTCAGTAAAACATCACTCTTTTTGGTGTTAAGTATATCACTAGGGTGAAACCAAGTGATTGCTGGTGATTTTTGGTGAGAACACTATGAAGTTGTAATATGATATCTTTTAATATATACACGAAGATATTTCAAAGTGATTCTTCCAGCAAAAGAGTGATTTTTAGGCGAATAAACGTATGTACTGAACTATTGTACCCCGACAGACCCCACTCTTAGGTTCATTCAGTGGTAAAGTATCTTTAGACATCAATAACTCTGTCAAACCTTCATATGTAATAGGAAACTGTGAAAAAATCTCTTAAATGGTCAAGAGAAAACATCCAGAGCTAAGTTTTTGAACACTGTTTTTTCAATTTTCTGTTACAATATTTTACTGATTAAGGAATAAAACCACTAATTCATAACTCCATTGCTTTCTACGTTAAATTATGCAATTTCAAGCAGTCATAGCTGTTTTGTCTTAAGTTCAGATAAAGTGACAGTCATATCATGTCAAAACTATACCTTATACTGACTTGTGCTAAAAAATTCAATATACCTTTAATTGCATATTAGAGCGTATGGTTCCTGGAAAGTTGTTAGTACAAAAACAGGTACTTCTGATCTGAACATCAGGGTCGACTTAGATTTGATTAACTCGGGTTACTCGGGAAAAACTTTTTACGTAACTGCCCAAGCGCACTAGACAGTTAAATCGACCATTAACTTACAAGTAGATTTACATTTATAAATTTTGACTTGGATGGAGAGTTGTCTCATTGGCACTCATACCACATCTTCTTATATCTATAAACTCTTCAAACCCTTCAAAATGGAGCATTACATAGGATTTTTTAATAGTACTGTCGAAAAATATTAAAATTCCCTCTTCAATAAACAAGTCCACGATAATGCCATTGCTATATAAATATGCTATTTTGCCGGCTTTTATCAAGGTACTTTAATCAGAGACAGCAAAATAACATATTTTCTAGTTTGCCGGCAGGGGCAAAATAGCCACTGCTTTATCAAATCGTACCAAATAGATGAAAACATTTTCATTTTGTATTGAATCAATAACTGAGCTGCTTTTTTTATATTTTGGTTTTATAAAGTTGTTATTTTTGCCATTTGTTACCCAGTGTAAGATACAAGTACAATGTAGCTTAAATTTGAAGATATTTTTTTTTCAGTTTTTACTTACTTCACTTGTTCTTCCATCTTGTTTTTTTACTCTACTCGACTAAACCTGCCTACGAGGTAGGTAGAACTCGACTCGGGTCAAAAGGTTAAATTGATGACGTTTTAGAGAAACTCTGCCCGTTCGATTTAAACTCTACTGACACGAGAAACCCGAGGTAATCAAATCGAAGTCAACCCAGGGCGCATATGCCCTCCTTTATTAATTTTATATTTTTTTTATTATTATAACAAGCTTTCATCAAGGTTTCTACAGTGAGTCAAAGTCTTTAAGCTTTCATTTTATACCAAACTTACCCAAACATTTTACTTATTGACAAAGCTACAGCTATGACTAGGAACTGTTTTGTTTAAAATATGAACCACTTTCTTGTTTGTCCTTTCAGACCAGGCCTGAATTAGTGGTTCTATACAGATAGGGACTTAAATATTTTGCAGTTAATCTTAAGATACAGTCTGAGTTACAGTTTTTAAACAACAGTTACTTTGACAAACCTTCATGAAATTTTTTTATAAAACTTGGATAAAGCTTCTTCATGATCAGGAAAAAGCCTGTTCTTTTTTCTCCATTTGTCCATATCTTTTTTTTTTATAAATGGACTTATTTAATTTTTTGCTCCTCCCAAAAAAATCCTGGAGATTAGATTGTTTGTGTCAGAAAAAAAATGGTTATAGATTATAACTTGAGTATCCCTTTCTTGATTGAAATAAAACTTTAACAGATAGAAGATAAAATAGAAGATCACGGGAACAAAAAGAATCCTATTGTTTTTTTGTTCAATAGATCAAAGGACAAGATCACTGTTTTCGAAAATAAAAAAAAAATAATGAAGAAATGGTTTCCTGATGGAAATATGAGTTTCCCTTGCTTGATTAAATTTAAACTTACACATATTGAAGATATATGAAAGGAAGAAATTCCTATTAATTTTGGGGTCAATAGTTCAAAGGTCAAGGTCACTGTTACTTTTGGAGAAAAAAAATCAGGATTCAGGATGGTAATTTGGAGTTTCGTTACTTGATTGGAATGAAACTTATATAAATAGAAGATATACTGAATGGAAAGATGCCTATTTTGGTTTTGGGGTCTATAACAAACACTAAAACTTTTAGTTTATTTAGATATACATATATTTCTTTATCCCCGGCTTAGTATATTTCTAGGATTTTGATTGGATAACGCACGTCGTTACAAAACCCATAGCCCCTGGGTGTTGCTAACCCATATACCCAGACGTTGCTATCCTTTACCCCGGGGACGTCACACGCATTTTCCTTAGTTCCATGGTTGTTCCTTGTGAAATATAGAATTCTGTAGATTATTCATGATGTCTGTAATTAAATATTTAATCCACTATTGACGTTATCTTATTTTGTTGATCATTTGCACTCATTTTAGTCAATGCATCACTTGGCTGCCACGTTGTCAATGAATGGGACTACTGACCTAGTTATGCAAATAACCCACGTTGATGTCACACAGTCTATGATGTAACTCTCACAACATTGAGCGCCAAATTCTACCTACTCCCCTTTCTCTGTCTCCGTATTAAAAACGTCTTATATTTGACTACCTGTAGGATTCTACCAAAGGTAGTACCCTACACCCGTAAAAGATATGTCAAATTCCCAAATTTCAATAAAAGATTTTTAGAAAATGAAAAAAACGTTGCTTTCACGTTACATTTTGTGGTTGAATTTCTCTAACAATCGCAAGATTTGGACTAAGCCCGGGGATAAATTCGTTATCTTCGTTCATATCCGTAGACTCAGGGTGTACTTGGATACTTCAGGGTGTTAAAATATCCATATCTACGGATACGAACGTAGATAACTTATAATATCCACTAGATCATAGATATTGGATTTAAAATAAGATACAGTATTACAAATTCAAATTTTTAGGGTCAAATTTGGACCTCCATGACCCTACTCTTTTATTGTTGCTTCAGTACAAAAATGTATCTCCTTTGAAAATTATAAAAGAAACAGTGCTCTTTTAATTTAAGTTAGAATATTGGTAACACTTTTCATATCAGCACTTTGCATAAAATTTGTCATAATTCTATGAATTTAATTAACAAGGTGTTGATGCCACACTCTTTTGATTGCAGATAGCACCTTGCAGACTGAAAAGAAGAAAATTGACCCTAGGACAAAAATAAAATTTAGATTGTTTGATGTTGCCTACCTACCCATCTTAAAAGCAGCCTACATGAAAAATTTGATAAGATATTTTCCTGCTCTAAAGTTGTTTTCTTGTTTAAAACATGTAACTTATGTCGTTGGCAAAAAAAATCTCTACCTATCTACCCAACCCTACAAGGCATGGGTAGGCAACATCAAACAAAGAATTTTTTAAGGGTGGCCCTGTGTGTTTTACTATGTATATAATTCTGATACTTTCAATAAGCAACAATAGAAATGTCATTGGATGCAATATAAAGATAAGAAGAGGTGGTATGATTGCCAATGAGACAAATTTTCATCAGAGACCAAATGTTAATAATATGAACAACTACAGGTCAGTATACAACCCTCAACAATGAGCAAAACACATACTGTATAGTATAGCCATATGAGACAAACACATACTGTATAGTAAAGCCATATGAGACAAACACATACTGTATAGTATAGTCATATTAGACAAACACATACTGTATAGTATAGTCATATTAGACAAACACATACTGTATAGTTTAGCCATATGAGACAAACACCTACTGTATAGTATAGCCATATGAGACAAACACCTACTGTATAGTATAGCCATATGAGACAAACATGTACTGTATAGTATAGCCATATGAGACTCCAGTGATGATGAAATGTGAAACGATTCAAAAGAGAAAACCAAAAGCCTGATTTACATGTATCATTATTTATGCTATTGCTAAACAGAAATGATGTCAAACAACCACCCACAGGATAACAGGCTCCTGGCAGGCTCATGAAGAATGTGGTGTAAGGGTTACAACTTATTTTACCTTAAAGTTGTGGTCACATCAATTTGAAACTTAGTACACATGTACACTATGGTGTGAACTTTTAGAAATACATTGTTTATGCCAAATAAGGGTTTCGATTGAATTTTATAAGTGCACTGATATGATAATTTTGGTGGGCATGGTATCCTATGGGCACAAATCCTTGTTTTATATTTTACAGATAGACAACATAGCAATGACCAGAGGGCAGAAAAAGACTTAGATCATGGTCATAAAAGTGTTAGCAACATCAGCTCCGATGAATCACCAACAAAAGCATCCACACCACACAGACAGATTAGTGTTGATTTAAGTTCTTTAAAGAATGTAGTACATAGACATATTAATGTAGAAATATTAAGTCACAGGTTACAAAGACAGATACGAGTAAATAAGTTTTTATCATTTCACAAACCATCAGAAGTCAGGGTACTTTTCAAAGCTTACAGAAATCAAGGTTTGCTATACGATTGATAATAGTAACAATAAAGTTGTATGTGAAATTATATTTATTTATAGATTATCGATGGTATATCAAACTAGAAGGTGTTTCTCAGCTACAATCTCTCTGACGGGAGACAGCCCCGAGATGAGATGTAGCTAAGAAACATCCTTGAGTTTGTAAGACCATTGTTTTGATAATCTGTTTATTGCTGTTTTCCTAGGCAACATCAATGGAGTAGACTTTTGATGTCATTCATTCTCTTTCTACTTGACAAATGAAAAAAACCCACATCACTGAAGTAATGTGATATAAAAATTATCACCAAAAAAGAAATCAAAGCAAAATTGGAGAAAATAGCAATAAATTTATAATGTATTAAAGTAAAACATATTTACCTAAGAGAATTCAGGAAAAAAAGCTTACAGATGTTTCTTTATAACTAATGTTGACCATTGATGTGTCAGATAATATTTCCTTTTATTCCATATTTATAAAGGTGAATGTTAACACTTCATTTACAATTTAGATATAAACAATAAATTAGGGGTGAGCTAAAGGATACCAAAAATATGTTTGGAAGATTTTGATAAGACATTTTGAAACATAATGTTCCTTGATGCATAATTATAGATTTTCATATTTTTGCAGACTTTTAGAATAAAGAATGAAACCTGATCTAACAAGAGATTTGGGTAAACATCAATAAGACCAAAATAAATCATAAATAGTTTACAAAAAAGACAATTAAAAGAGAGGTGGAAAATACCAACCTCATAAGTGGAGACAAAATGACAACGTCATGGCATAAAAAGAATTACCAAAAGACAAACAACACTATATAAAACAAGAGATAGAAAACTAAAGACTAAGCAACATGAACCCTAAAGGTCACAATAAGGTCTTTAACGATTGAGACTAGCTTAAAGTATAGGACTAAATAACTGACACCAGAGCCATATTATTTTATGTATTTGACTTTATGATGATAATTTCAGAATGTTCCAAAGAGGAATACTTGAACATTTTAAAGATTATCTTGAAAGATGTATTGACTGGCAGAGATATATTACTTGGTGCAGAATTCTGCAGTATTTTGTTGAAGGTTAGTTTCTTATCTTCATAACATAGCAGGGGTTGAATTGAATTAGGTCTGATGTCCCGAACTGTCGGACTTTGTGGTAAAAAAAAACCTCTTAATTTTCTCTTTTTTCTTCTGTTATCTATTATTTTATCAAAAATATTTAAAACAAGGATATGTTTCCATAGAACACCATGCCCTGTCTGCTCTGTCAAAATTTGCAGTGAACCATGAAGTTTGGTCAAAACCCTTATTTGGAATATAAATTAAATATTTACATTTCACTTTAACCCTTTCACCGATAGCCAGCCTGACAGAAGCTACTCTGAGACGATGGCTTCCCTGGCTATTATGACACAAGTGGGAGATCTTCATATTAAATATCAATAAAAACTTGTCTGTAGTTATTTATGTCTTTATATTATTCACTTACAACATGGACACAGTTTTGTTAATGTTTTGATCATTTTTTCTTCATAGAAAATCAAAATTTACAAATTTTTGGAATTAGATAGATGAAATTCTCGAAATTCAACTTTTTGACCCAAAATTGTAATTTTTAAACCCAAAACGGCAAAAGTTTGAAAAATTTAACAAGGTTTGTAAAAATTCCTTACACTGAACAATGTCCATTCCAAGTGTTTTTGTAAATAAAATGGCATTTTATGTCAAAAATGTATACTAGTCTGGCTTCAATTCTTCCATATTCTTTCAAAAAAAATGTTCCCTTATTTCAAATTCTAGTAAAATCCGTAAAGGACAAGGTACAATAAGCATCAGAGAACGGCCCCCAATTTTCGTTCAAATTAAAAGTGACGTGCCATAAATTATAATACTATATTTTTAAAGTTTAAAACCTATATTTTTGTAAACATCAATAGATTTGTCAACTTCCGCTGATATTATTCATGCTTTGTTGCTGTAAACACCTCAAGATTTGCGAAAAGGGCAGAAAAATGGCAGTTTCCAATCCTTTTTCTGCATTTTAAACTATGAGGGTACCTACGGCCCACGATCATATTTATACCTGACATTTCTTGAATATAAATGTTGATGCAGTTCAAATATCTTAGTGGGCCGTAGGTACGCTCATAGTTAATAATTAAAAAAAGGTGAAAAAAATAGTCGTATTTTCATTGAATCATCGAAATATTTAACGAACTGCGGACCGGAGATGATTTCTGGTATTCACTGGATCCGACGACAGACTTTTAATCGTGCTATAATGGCTAGTTTCTTTATGACGTAAATTTTACATCTACGAAAAAGGAACACAGGATATTTCTGTATTTATTATTGTATGAATTTAAAGTGAGATTTTAGCAGACTGTCCAGTTTTGACACAAAATCAGAAGGAACTGTGACAAACTTCGGAGAAATTTTGGGAATGTAAATGAAACCAAAGTTATTTAATAATTGGTTCATACTCAAACAGTTCCTAAATTCAAATATTTAGAATACTGTGAAAGATGTTTATCATGGATTGGCATGTCGAAGCATAAATATGTCTTTCAGTTGTAACGTAAAAACTGCAGAGATTTGTACTTGTTAAGCATGTAATCTCCGTGGAATGGTGTATTCTGAACAAAAAACAAATTTTGAATATAAATTCTATACCCAACAGATCGATATTGATGTCAACATTAAATTTTAGTACAACTTTACCCTTCAAAAACACGTATTTTGTTTTATAAATGACAAAATCGTCGCCCTGTATAAATCTCCGTTGACGCTTTTGTGAAAAGTGCTTTCTTTCACGTCCGCATTTCTATCAAGTATGGCATGCCAAGTTAACATTTTAGGCAATCATTACAGATGGCGAAAATACATTACAGAACTGTGAATAATAACATACATTGTAATTCATACGACATAAGAAGACATCATGTGACAATTTTAATTATTTAATTGTGTAAGTGTAACAGTAATATAGATCAAACAAAACTATGCAACACTACTATGTATCTTGAGTAATTTTTTGGTCATGGTGTTGTTTGTATTTATTGGACTTATGATTTGTAATCCCTCTCTTTGTAAACGACAACTCGTGCCACTTCGTATTTCTTGTTCTCTACATTACTTTCCGTCATAAATATGCATGAAGTATTTGCCACTGGACGGTCAGAAAACAGCATTCAATCATACATCTTTCCTCTTAAATTACAGTACTATAATGACTTTAAACATATTTAAATAAATAAAAGATTCGCTTAATTTTTTAATCAGATATTCACACGTCAAAGAAAAAAAAAAAACGAATATTGAATATCAAAGGAATAAAAAACGGGTCCTAGTCAAAGATATCATGCTTGTTATTTTGTATGCCAGACCTGTGTTTCGTGTACAAAAGACTCATCAGTGACGGTCGAATGAAAAAAGTCAAAAGACCATAAAAGGCTCAAAATTTCGAAACGTTTTGCCATATACAGCTAAGGTTATCTATTCCTGAATAGAAATTCCGTAGCTTATCAAGCAATTCAAAGTTTTGTAAACAATTAATTTATAAATTTGACCATATCAATGATAATTCATGTTAACACAAAAGTGCTGACTACTGGACATCGTGTTACTGCATGGGTTGCTTGTGTCATTATTTTTAATGTGCTAGCTCATAAGGTTACAGTCCGCAGGAAGACATATCAACCTACCTGGACACTATATATTCTGACTCCGACCCAACTAGTCTTTGCTCTTACCCCTTAATGCCACGTGATAAACGGAAAATCAGCAAATACCAATTTCAAAGTCTTTGGTTTGACCCGGCTGCTGTTAAAACCTACAATACCCGGCACTCGAGGTAAAGACACTTGCACGAGACAACAGAGGCGGTGTTTGTCTCATGAGTTTTACGCTGGGTGGGAAAATGACTAACCAAGCGAAACTATGCACCAAAATGAGCATGGTGTTTTAAAAGATGAATATTTAATATTCGCAAATTAACTTCAACAGACAAATGTGATTATAAATGTTTTATATTTCAAACTTGGAAAAAATTACTATACATATCATCACTTTTATTCTTAGCTGTATGTTTATTCGCATTTAATTAGTGGACTTATTCAGAATCAAATACTTCTTTTTGTAATTGGGGTGTTAAAGCGATGACTGAAGCACATTTTGGATGAAGCGCAGAGGTTACAAAAGAGGCATTCAAAGCGTTATTACGTTTAAATGCTACAACCATGAAATTATGAGTTTTTTCAAATTTTTGGTTTGTTTTCCTATGCATTCTTGTGACCTTGTCGAGGGAAGTACGTGCGGTCATAAATGTTGCATTTTTTTTTTTGGAAATATCATCTGATTTTGGAATGCCTCTCAATTGTTGTCATCCAGTCAAAAGTATGGATTCTTATGAGACATACATGTAATGTAATTATTGATAATAAAAAGTTGAGATAACCAAATGTCATTCTATTACAACTTTTAAAATTGTGCAATTTGCTAAAACATTAAATGTGCAGTCAGTTTGGACAAGATTTTGTACAATTAAATTCATTTATTCTATTTATTTAATTGTACAATGACTAAAATGAAGGGTGCATATAGTAAGAATCCTTCTTATTATATAAATCCTCGCTTAAACATACGCATCCACCCAAAGAATTGACTTCTGCAATCATATACTTTTATTAGTAACTTGCATGTCCAAGTATAATTGTTCATTTTGATAAACAAATATAAAAACACAAAAGCAAAACGAAAAAATACAAAATGCAAAATAAACACATACAATGAATTTTACATGATATTTCAATCATTCGACAACGACAAGAAAAAGAAACCATTTTTCGTCATCGCCAGTATCCACATCATAATTACAAATAAAAAAAAAGTTCCATATTTCATTTCATCATGAAAGAAACAGCAGTTTATTCAGTACTCAGTTCTCACTTTTTTTTTATCATGTTTCCCTGGCTTCCAAATAGAAATGAATGGATACATTATGTTTAACTTGAGTATTCTTCATCTTCTTTTTTTTCTGGATTTTATTCTCATACACACTTGTCCCAGCCGACACTTATTTAATTTTTTGACATTGACTTATGATATTTGGCATAAAGTGTATAACCATGAGATATCATATCAGTCTAATATCATTATGACCTTTACCATTGATCTCAAGGTCAAAATAATTGATGTTTTGTTCTTGACCTTTGACTTTCAAGGTAAAATATTTCAGTTTTATATGTCCAACCCTAAAACCATATATAGGCTATGTCAATTTCTTTTTACTGCACCGAAGGATTTATTCCTTGAGGTCAAATCCCCATTATATAATGAATCATTAATTATCTCCAAAATGATTTATATCCCCACCCATTGCCTTGATAAGTCATTTCTAATTCACCATAGGTTTTGTACCCAGGGGACACATTCACATCCCCGCCCCTACATCATATTAATTCTTAATTGCCTGGATTAGACATTTTATTCCAGACGAGGTCTGTTTGTAGTACAAGCCACGTCTCTTTCATTTCATTAACTGTTAAATATCTTTAAAAACTGTTCACCCCTAATCAGTAAATCCTTTATATTCTTGTTTTCATGAAAAGACCTTCACATTGAAAAATAGGTTTTGAAGTTATCTTTAATTTAAAAAAAAAAGTTTGCTGTTGCTCAACAACATGTGGGTTTCTATGCTCGATATGGAATTCGTCAAAAAAAGATTAATGATAATCAAGATGTTTATAGTATAGTGTTACAACATATGAGAAGGTATATTCTTCCAAAATTACTAAATTCATACTTCAGATAATATAAAAGAACCCATTATTGAACGGTTGCTATGTACTTGTTATGTAGCTATGTTGTTGATAAGTATTAAGCGAACTAAAATTGAACTAACTTATCATTTCTAACTAAAAGTTGTTCATAAGAAGACAATATGCATTGCATTCAATTTAATTTGTTCAATAAAATGATTTATTGATTTGTAGTTGCTTTAAAAAAAGTTCAAACATGTTTTCTTGCTGTTGCTAAGCAACATTTGTGTTGCTATGCTCAATACGGAATTTGTTAAGAAT